TTCGTCTTCGCCTCCATTTTATTATTGAGGGGTGTTGAAATTTATTTCCTTCGTGTTCGGCCGCCTCATAACGGAAATTTATACGCTAAAGTTCCATTTTTGGTGCAATTATCTTTGATATATATGCATAATCCTTGTTAGTCCCTCGCCACTTGAACGCTGCCGCAACTCCACTTGATATTCAATATTTTTTTGTGCCAAGAAAAACGAAGCGAAAATAGATTAAGCACAAAGCAACACAATTTCAATGCAATTAAAATGTAAATTTCGTTTATGCATTCCCCAAATATATGCAGAAAATAAAACTTGTACACTCAAGGAAGAAAAGGAAGGCCAAAGGATTCCCCGGGATAAAAGGGACAAAATATATGCGGGGGTCGCGATTGTGTCTAAAAGTGGAAAAGTACTTTTGTAAACCCTTGGATCGTTTTGACTTGGGTAACAAGCAGTTTATGAAATACTAGCTAGTAATTAATAAAAAACAAGTTGGGTGCATCGACTATTAGATACCCGTTACTCAGCCAAAAGAAGTGAGATCTAGAAACTAACTACATAATTATCTTACTAAAGGTGTAATAGGCATGAAAATAAATGTTCGCGATATAAAAAAGAACAGATTTCCAGAACACCCTCTAAACTCGAAATCCTTGGCCTCCGCTGAACTTTCGACTGCTGGCGATTAAAATTTAAATTTTATACATCCAGCAAAGAATTTGCCATAATTTTGTCGGCAGCTCCGCTCCAAATTAAATTTAATAATGCATTGGATTTATGTTGGCATTGGCGGAGAGAATTTCATTAGGCAGGTGGAAAAGTGATGTATAGTATTCATATATATACGGAGCTCTAAAGCCATAAGAACTCGGGAAAGCATTCCCAGCCTCTAAAAGTGAAAGTTATGATTTAAAAAACCAAAAAATATATATTTAATAAAGTATTTTGATAAGCCTAAAAGAGTGACCTAATTATAGGAAATGTAATTAAAATGCATAATTACATTTTTGCTATAATATTTTGGCAAACTTTGTTCAGCTGCTTAAAACCATTCCTGAAGCTTCGTGTTTCTTGCAAATACTTACATTTTGAACTATATTTCTAAATTGTTTTTCAATTTTCAAGCGTGTGGTTTCTAAACCTGTCAGTGTGTATGTGTGTATCTGTGTTCTGCGCATACACGTGTATGTGGGGATTTTGATGCTAGTGTGTGACTATTGCCGCAGCGCTTGATTAGATTTTGCCACTCCTTCACCCGCCCCGCATCCACCAACCACAAAGCACCCCCCGTTTTTCACTGTGTGCGTATAACCGCAGCCACAACAACAACAACCACTTGCAGGGGGAAACAACAACGCGAGTTCAGCATGGAGAGTTACATTATTTTTGCGAAAATTTGTTAAATATGCCAAACACGCAGCGATGCATGCAAAGTGGCAAAAGCAGCCAGGTGGGCAGTGCGAGAGGGGAGGGGGGTTGGGGCTAGTGGGCAGTTGGCAGTTGGCAGTCGGCGGGGGGAGGGGAGCGTGTGGAGGGTTGGCAATGGGAGGCAGGTGGCTTCCATCCAAGCAAGGCAGGTCCATCCAGCCGTGGCATTGCGTACGCGTTTGCTCATATTTGTGACATAAATAAGCTAAGCCAAGTGTGCTGGCTAGCAAGGGGGGTGAAGGGGGTGCAGGGGGTGCAGTGGGGCGGATGGTTTGAATGAAGGATGCACGGCCACATACATGCGCGCACACACACACACACACTGCTGAAATGGCGGCAAATATGACCCGTTTTTTTGAGCTTCGCGCGGCTGCCATTTTCGGATATACCTTCTATTGCGGGTATGATGAGCAAGGTGGGGGATTTGTAACCAAAAGAGAGGCTCCTATAACTTCTGTACTACAAACAACTTCACAGGATCTGCAGTTAGAAAACAGTGTACTTAAATGAAAGATTAGATTAATTAGAAAGTATGGATCAGTAATTCAATAACGTACAATTCATGAAGTTGAAATGCATGAATGAATGCGCGCCGTTGTAGAAACTTTGGTGAAACTATTTTTATTACCCCAAACAAATTATTAGGTATTTCCCCAGTCATTTCACTTTAAATACCGCGCATAACGCACTCATTACGAGCAGAATCCAAACAAAAAGTGGGCATGCAGAGTGGCAGTAGCGTCGATGTCCTGGCCCGTTCGCCCAGCATTTGGTTTCGGTTTGGAGTTCGAGGTTCGAGGTTCTGGGTTCTGGGTTCCCAGACTCTCTGGTTTTGAGTTTGGCTTTGGGTTGGGGCTCGAGGTTCGAGTGGTCGCTCGGTTAAGTTGAGTTGCATGCAGAAATGGCCATCGCAGGAGCAAGGAAAATAAAGTCCTGCCCGAATGTGTGTGTGTGGATTGTGTGTAGGTTGCAGAAGTGGGTGCACTTTAGTCGCTTCCCTGAGCGCCACCGCCGCCCCTCCTTTTCTGCTTTATGTTTTCAAATTAAAGTCGAAAGCGTGGCAACACTTAATGTGCGCCACTAGAAGCAGATTAGTTGCATTACCCCGAAGCCTGCTCACTGACTCGTCCATTTTCCAGCCACCCGACATTAAGCCGCCCATTTTGGCCGGGCTAAGAGAAGGCGGGGGAGCAGTAGCTGCGACGAGAGAGCCTGGTCCGACATATTAATAATTTAAAACTAAAGCAATTTTGCAGGCAGGACTTAAAGGTAAAGTTTTCCCGCCGCCTTGCTGGCGGAATTTAACTTTAAATGGAATGCCGCTTTAGATTTGCGAGGGCTTACACCTGGGCACTTTGATAACCAGGTCTCCATTGAGTTCAGCACAATTAACTAAGCCATATACAAGCACTTTAATATTGGCACCCACAGACACTAAAACGTGCCTTTCAAAGCATTTATCATAACTTAAATTACACACATTTTCTTGTTACGCTTCCCTGGGTTGAGTCCCTCGACGTCAATGGAAAACGCTCACAATTTGCAGCTGATCGAAACTAATGAGGTCACCGCCACGCCAAGTTTGTTTACTTTTTCGGGAAGAGGGACTTGAATTACGAAATTGGATAGTGGCCCGAATGTGGGTGGGTTTTATATGGGGCATTGGCATTCCGCCACCGCAAGCATCGAATTCAATGAATTTTAAAATTCCTTTTTCCCACTGGATGCGCCGCTGCTGACTGCGCGCAATTTCTGCTAGGATTATGATAATATAGCTCAAGTGCAGTTAGTCGATGTCGCTGCTGCAGTTGCACTTGCAGTTTGCGATAATCATAATAATAATGGTGCAAGTGCTCCTCCGCCCCATCTCCATCACTATAGTGCGGGGTGTGTGGGTTTTTGCATTTGATAACGCTTGGGGATATGATAATAATGATGATGATGATGCAGCATCAGCAGCCGGAATGGCAATTGAATTGGGGGCGATAGCGAGGCAGCCGGAGGAAGGATAGACCCGCATTGCAGCACTATGATGCCTCGAAATGTGGCAAGTGGCAGTGGCAAGTGGCAGACCGAAATGGGGAAAAACAGAGGCATTAGAATCCCCAGCCATTAAGTTGAATTTCAACACTCCTTGCGGTTACTCGCAACTATAAAAGTTCCCATAATATTACGTTTCGAATAATAATAAGTTTAAATACCCGCCATCAGCATGGCAGCAAAGTCAATGACCAGAATGGCTACTTAAAATCAATTTTCACCCCATAAGCAGCTTAATTATAATTTTAATTGATTTCCGAAAACAGATTTTCAAGTGGGCGGCGTCGGGCTCGTCGGAACAATTTTGTCCCCGCAAATTGCGGGCCATAAAACATAATTTCCAATGACTAAAAATTTCACATTTATTGAAGCGATAATATAATAATTTATAACAATGCAAGCGCTATGCGATTTTTCGGATGACGATATCCAAAAATTTCTACCAGCGCAGTTCAAAACTGCGAAAACTAATTGGGTTCTTTTGAAATGAAGGGGGGAATAAATATGCAAGGGCTAATTATGTTACTAAATATTCGCTGGTGCCTAAAAAATAATTTTACATTATTAAATATATATATATGTAAATAAAGGTAAAATGTGGAAAACAGACGACAGCCAAATCCTGCCAATTGAAAAGGGTTCAAACTATTCGAGTCACACAAATTTAATCTGCTCGCAGTAATCGCCTGCACTTTAATTGTATTTAAGCCAATTGATTTGCAATTTGGTTTAGTAAAAGATAGAGCGTCCAACCAACCGAACCGAATCGAACCGATCCGCCCGCACAAACAACCACATCACACGGCATCCCGCTTTCGCCATTCGGAAAAACATTCTCAGCCAATTGCACAATTGATAACAATTAATTTGTGCAGTGCGCATTTTGCGTGTTTGTGCAAATAAATTAGTTGCACATTGGCCTCCTCCGTCGCAACGCCGCCTCGCCGCCTCGCCGCCTCGCCGCCAAACTTGGAGCCCTTTTCGATGGAAAGTGCAAATATTTGGCGAAATGTTAAATGCCTGCCAATTAGTTATCGAGTCCAGACCAGTTTAGCAGCTAGCCAGTGTTTTAATTTATGTAAAATTAATTGAGCATTGCCAAATACTCGAATTAACTAAGCCTGGCTGAGCACGCAGCCCACACTCCGTTTGCTCCATGCCGAACCAGTCCAGTTCAGTGCAGTCCAGTTTGGACCTGGCCCTAACCCACTTGATTGTGGCACTTTCCAATGCCACAACACCGAGCTCCCAGCCAAGGCAATCTCATCGGCTATAGGGTTACACTCGACAATGTGGTTGAGCTGGGGCTTCCGCCAGCGCTTCACGCAGCGATTAACTTACCAAGGCCAAGGCCTTAAACTCGGCTTAGATGTATCTCAATTTAGCATGTTATAAATCAAGCAACTAGCAAGTTCTTTGCTTGGAAAGTACACTATACAGTGTGTGGAGTATAGTTCAAATGTCTGTCAGTAGTGAGGCTAAAAGAGATGAGTTAAACTCAATATGACTAGTATCTCATGCACTCCATTTGATTTCAGAACGCAAACTGTTCGTGGGCATGCTAAACAAGAAGCTGAACGAGAACGACGTTCGCAAACTATTTGAAGTCCACGGAGCCATCGAGGAGTGCACCGTCCTTCGGGACCAGAACGGACAGAGTAAGGGCTGTGCCTTCGTCACATTCGCTACCAAACACGCCGCCATTTCGGCCATTAAAGTGGTGAGTACTGAACACTCTTATCTTGTGGATACATGTATCAAGTATTGCCCTATACCCACAGACCCTGAGCCAGAACAAGATCATGGAGGGCTGCACATCGCCGCTGGTCGTCAAGTTCGCCGATACGCAAAAGGAGAAGGAGCAGAAGAAGATACAGCAGATCCAGGCCAACCTCTGGAACCTGGCCAGCAACATCAACATCCCGCTGGGCCAAACGGCCACCAGCGTGACCACGCCCATCCTGCCCAACCCGCCGCAGCAGCCTTCGCCGGTCCTCGGCGCCGATGCCATCACCCCGGCCTCCATCCAGCTGCTGCAGCAACTGCAGGCGGTTGGCTTGCAGCAGCAGTTGCTGCAAGGTGAGCGGAGCAAACAAAGCTGTTTTGGATTGCATGCAGTAGTACCGATTTTATTTGTTGTTCCCTTGCAGCCCTCACAGGACTGGGCGCCCAGCAGAGCAGCTCGGCGACGGACACAAGCGCAGTTGCGGCCGCCGGACTCTTGACCCCGATGACCGTCCAGAATCTAGCGGCCATTGCGGCCATGACGCAGCCGAGTCTCTCGAATGCCGCCGCGGCAGCCGCCGCTGCCACATCGCCGGGAAGCGCCCAACTGACCAACACGGCTGCGCTGCTCTGTGAGTTACTCCTCCACCTCCTTTAGGAGCAGTTTAGTGGGGTGGAAACGGGGGGAAGACACTTGAAGCGGCTCCATGGCTAATAATTCATCAGGGCTTACCGCAGCCCACAATCCCCCGGCGTATCTCGGCCATCAGTTGCCTCTGCTAATTATCTAATTTTCCCCCATTTCCGTACTGAAGTTTTCTTGTGCGTCACAGGGTGTTACCACTACTCGACTTTCTTTTAGCCTGTTGCTAGTTCTTCTTTGCGGCACACTTTCCCTTTCCCAACGCTTCTTGTGTTTCTTTTATCGATTTCTAATTATCTCGCCGGCACTCAAATATTTTCGCTGTTGTCCTGGTTATTGCCTTTAATGAGTGTCGAACGCTTATTGGATTATGATAAAGTTATTTTCGGATAAATGTGTATTTGGACAATTGTGACAGGATTATATACGTATAATACTTTCGCGGGAATCAAATTCGGAACTTGTTCGCTATAAGTGGATAATACATAGCCGGAATAGTCATCAATATTCATTTGGTCTCCTAATTTAATTCATCATTAATGAGGTAAACTTGCTACTCGAAAACCCGTCAGGGGAATTGCTTTTCTATTTTTGGTTTCTTTGCATACAAATTTGTCATCATGTGACATTCAAAGTGCCCAATTAGCCTAATTTACTGAAGACCTGCTCATCCTTCTTCTGTTTATCCAAGGAAATCCAATTACAATCAAGCCTCGCTGACAAGCTTCTTTGCGTACCAAATCGACTTAAAATAGCCAAATAGGAATTTTTGTTTCCAAAGGGATAGATTGACGTCTTCGACTTGTCCATCCTAATTAGCTTAGGAGATTTTCAGTTCGTCCTTGCTAACCAAATTGTATTCTCTTTGATCTACTTGTGCATTGCTTAACCTGTCGTCTAAATAAATAAATATGGATTTAATGCAGGCCTCTTGGGTAAAAAGGCAGCGGCCAAAAAATCAGGTGAGAATTCTCTTGAATTTATTAAAAGTTTCAAAGCCTTCATACTTTTGTTTTTATTTCGATGATTTACGTTGCTTAAATTGACAAAAAAAACTAGATACGATTAAAATGCACTTATCACTGCAATCGTATGAAAAAATGGTCTGACAAAAGTGTATTTCCTTTTCTCTTCTTTAACATTGCTAATCGCTTGAATAAATATTGATAAAACGCAGCCAAAAAGACAGGTGAGAACTTTACCAAATATTTGCACAGTTTAATAGTGCCGTTATTTTCATTATATTCCGTATCAATTGCATTTTAAATTGAACTTATGTGTTTTTAAAACAATGGCGTTTGTTTTACCTTTCCATAATCTCTCGAAAATTTCAAAGTTTTGCACCATTTGCTTAAGTTTCCACTCGCTTGCCGAGTGATGTGGCTTTCGTTTTCGTTGTGTCATAAAAAGTGTGTGTGTTATTAAGTTTGATAGTTAAAGCCAACGAGCCATTCGACGTAACATTCACGTGCACCGTAACGCGCTTGCTTAACGTCGCCTGCTTTACGTCACCAGTCCGTAGAGACTTGATGGCCGTATCGCCAAGGAGCGACTTTATCTGGAGTACAGGAGACCCTACAACGTACAAAATTACAAGTTACACTCTCTTGCGAAATTAACAACACGGAACTTATTGCACCGAAGGCCTCTGGAGGAGCAGGGGTAGGGCAGGGGCAGGGGGAGGGGGACTGGGAAAATGGGGAAATGGGAAATGGGGGATAAAGGACGAACCAGGCAGTGGCTGCTGCACCGCTCCTTCCTGGCCTCATTGACTTTTTCGCTTTGGGGAAATTGCAATGTTTTCTGCTCACTTCACGGCTTTCATTTCTCACTTCTCAACTTCCGAATTTCAGTTGCAGTTGCAGCTGCAGCTGCAGTTGCTGAAATAAAAGCCGCAATAGGGAATTAAAATATTAAGGCCAAGTGTAGAGTCCTTGCAACAGCGATTTACTTGGCAATAACGTACATAGTTATTTACCGAATTAATTTCAGAAGTGCAATAATTAAATTACAATGAGTTTGTTGAGGATTCTTTATCAGTTTTCCAAAGTACTTGAATATGTTAAAAACTGAGTTGTGGTCGCACAAGAACCCAAAGAAAATTCCCCTTAAATGTGGCAACGAAAGCACCCAAATGAAAGACAAACAAGAATTAAACGTTAAGTCTTCGGGCCACAGAGGCAAAGGAAGTGTCATTGCCTATCTGTGGGCATCGTTGACCGCATTTTCCGCCATTTCCACGCTCACTTCTTAAATATTTTCTTAGCAAGTTCATTCCGAGAGGATCTTAGCTGAGAAGTAGGCGAACAAAAAGCATGGCCAAATAAGAAGAAAAATCTGCGGCTGACTTAACCAGAAAAATGCCAAAAATTAAGCGGATTTCCACTGACTCCACCCCTCTTTTGCCGCTCGGCCCGGCCTTCTTTGCTCAGAGCTTATCTTGTGGGGATTTTCGTGAGTTTTGGCCCTTGTGCACTTGTGCGTGCTCATCGTGTGCCACTTGAACGATTTCCGGGCACTTCATTTAATGAAATATTAAAAATTCTCTGCCCGGGAGCGGATTCGGACTCGAAGGAGATGTCCTCCGTCTGTTACATCCTGCGCCTTGGAGTGAAAAAGAAATTCTGCTCAAAGTGCAGCTGGCAGCGAGGACAGCTGGACAGCAAGGATGCGCCTATCTGCGAATCCTTGCTGCTTTCTGCGTACCCAGTACTTTAAGCTGCATCTTACTACTCGAAATTCAACTTTTACCCCTTCATCTATAACTCCCCTTACGTATAATTTTGCTACGTCTGCAAGTTAACTCCTTTGTTTGTGAGGACTAAACCATTTAGTTTAGAAGATCCTTTTAGTCGAGACTCTTCATCGAGCTCATACAGGGCAACCAAACTTTCCGGTTAGGGTTTTTATTTTCTTTGCCGGGCGGATACATAAACTAAACTTCAAAATCGCTTCCCAAGTTTCCACGAGCAACAAACTTGCTGGTGCGTTCAGATTCTGCCTGCCACAAATAAAAAGGACAACAAATTGAGCCCTCGGCTTTGTTTGTTGATGCAACGCCGCGTATTGCTTATCGGCAGAGGAATAAAAATCTATTTGAATATGGGTTCTGTTGATGGAAAAGATAGTAAATGAAAAAGAAGTAATTTGTAATCTGTAGAAAAAAGCAAAGTATAGATATTCTTGTTGTGTAATTAAAATTTACAACTACCTAATTTGGAGAACAAGACATTTTGTCCTTTTGTGTAGGGTGAATTTCAAAATAAGAATAATAAGTGCACTTCCTCCACAACCTTTGCTTGATTTTCCACAAGCAGCGCTCGCTAAAGCTTAAGAGCATCCAATTCAAAAAGTTTTCGAAGCTCACTCCTTTGACCTCTCCTCAGAGTTGAGTAACTACAAAAAAAAAAGGGGGAAAAGCCAAGCCAACAGCAACAACCGAAAATCTTAATCAAAGTTTGGTTCAAGTGCAGTAAACTATGTAGTTTATACTACCAACCTCCGGCCCTTCAAACTGATTTAGGGTTTCAACACGTTCTGAGCTTTTCTTTTCCGTAGCCCCGCTCTCCATTACGTTTGTTTATACACATTTTTGCACTTTTTGCACTTGAAAATCAACAGGAACTATAACAATAACAGTGGGAACAAAAAGTCTTGTGCCTGCAAGTGGCAAATAAGATGAATAAGCAACTGGAAATTGTGCAATTTCGTACTTGAAGTCGGCGAACAAATTTCCAACTCCGAACTAAAAACTTACTTGCAAATACAAAACAGACAACATCCGGGCCAGAAAATAGTTTTAGGCTACGTTTCCGACTTCTTATTCCATCCTCTCGGCTGTTTCTTCAATCTGGCATTGTTTGTTGTTTCTGGCCGACCAGGCCGGACCGGACCACTCATGTGGATTATTATTGGCCAACTTAGTTGGCCAGATCCTTGATGAGTATTGTGCAGTGTGTCCGGCATATATGTATATATTCCAGTCTTCACTGGCTGACTTTTGGTGCCTTTCTTTGTGAAACTTTGAACAGCAATTAAAACAATTTCCGGTTCAAATATGTGCAAAACTTTTCGCCTAATCGCTACGGGAATTGTCTGTCTTGTATTTAAATCAGTAAACTTTCCGATTGATTGATTTAAAATGAAACAAGCAAAGGACTCGCTTTTTTTCCAAAAATATTGCAATATTTGTTTATATTTTTTAAATATTTCATTAGTACCCCAACTTTGGGATATTGAGTGCGGTGCTCTGGTTTTTCAAATACACTAAGGTCTGCAAAACTCATTAATAACGACGATCACGGGCTGCGACCCCAAGGGGGCGTTAAAATGGCCAAGAGGGGCGGTGGTCTGGGCCGGATTGCAAACCACAAAATTGCATTGCATGACGGGCAATGGCGGCGAACACGCAAAAACAACTAAATAACAAACAACAGGCGTCAAATTACACAAAACCCGAAACCAGAACACAACCAACATTACTCAGAGACAAATTAATTTCAGATTGGCTATTGCGGATGTCATGTGTGTGTGATGCGTGTGTGTGCTTTGTAAAATAATCAAATGTCACCCCGCGTGGCAGGGCACAAAATTCGATGATTAATTACGTCTGACGAAACGCAACAAACTAAATAATAATTATACAGTGAAATTGGATATGATGCATTGCGGCAACTGGTTGCCAAGTGGCCAAATAATGGATGTGTCCAAACTCGGGGGCTCTTTAGCAATTCCAGAGTCCTGCAATTAAATTCTTACAGAAAGAACAAAGCTATAAGGGTTCAGGCTGATTTTTGTTTGATTTAATTTGATTTATTTATCTATTTCATTTATTTTAGCAAACACAGCTAAATGCAAGCTACACACTGTCCAAGAGCCACGCCTATAACTTCGTTATGCAATTTGAAAGTACCACCTACTAAATTACTAAATGGCATTCCCTCTCTCATTATCTAGGGTCCGATCCGAATCCTCTGGCATCGGCATACATGTCAACTGCCGCCGGTCTGCCGCAATTCGGGAGCGCCAGTGCATTGTCCACTTCGCCGCTGGCCAGCGTTGCCCTCAGCGCCGCCGCCGCCGCCGCAGCGGGAAAGCAGATTGAAGGTGAGTCCCCCCCGCCGCCCAGGAAAACACACTGAGAGAAATGCATTTGACTGGCCTTCAGTAAGGTCAGATACCCCAAGGGTTCAATGGGTTTTAAAGCGTAATTCCGTGAATCCATTTTGGCGCGACGCATATAATTTGGAAAACCTCAAATTTAAAGCGGATTCCTGTGTGCGTAGAGGGCAGACTTAATATCCGGTATACATTTGTAATTTGGTAGGTAATTAGAGTGTTAGTGGGGCAGTGAGGGAGGTGGGGAACCTGCCGGCGCACGATAGAAATAGAAATGTCCAACAGCCTGACATTTTGATAAATGTAGTAAAATGCCCGAATGAATGCCGCTGCGGTTGCCACTCCAATACCAAATCGTTGGCGCTTTATCTTGTTCTTTCTGCACTTTGAATACCCTAACCAAAAAATGTGTGGCATGTAGGGTTATTTGAACATGCTAGTGCTAGTAAAGTGCACCGCAAATACTTTTATTGTGCGCCATTATATCTATATTACATTTTGAAGCTTACACAACCAACTCCTTGCAATAGCAAATGAAAAACAGGGTATATGCCTGCCCACACTCGCGGGTCCAATAGTATTTGTTTCTGCTGCTGATGCAACATCACATGCATTAAACCCGCTCATTGCTGTCAGCGTCATTCGCTCGTGATGCGGTTATTTTTGCATCCTTTTTGCATCCTTTTTGCATCCTTTTTTGCTGCTTTCTGCTCGTTGCCCCTGCATTATGTCCACCCACTTCCCGCCCACAGCCTTCATTCCGAATCCCACTTGTCATGGACATTTTGTGGATGTCTGTCTAATCTACTTAGTTTTAGTTGTGCCATTGTTTCCATCGCTCTGGCTGCTGTGCTGGAGGCGAAGGCCTTATTTTTCATATGAAAAGTCATCTATCAAATGCTATGCAGCTGGATAAAATGTGCAATTCGGAAGGAGATTGGGTCCGAGCGTCAGTTGGGCCTTTTCCGTAGCGCAGAGCGGAGGATTTTCGAGCTCGTACAAATCAAAATCCCCAACATCTTAACCATCTCACAAGCACTTCAATCTCCACGCCACGCCCACTCGCTTGTACGGATGCACGACGCCCCCTTAATCCGCAATCGAATGTCTTCTGCTGACACAAATCCTTCAATGCCATAAGCCAATGCCTGGGAGAGATGTAGCAAAAATCAATAAGATCAATCATCTTGTATGCTCCCCATCATCCCATCTCGCACTTGCTAAGTTGAATTTATGAGGAGCGTTTTGGTGGGGCTTAAATTTTTATCAGCTCCCGACACAGTGTAAATATTACACACACTTGACACACAATTCCATTAGTCAGACGTCGCTGTCGATATCGGGAAATATATGTGTGCATATACGCCCCTCGTGTGTGTGTGTGTGTGTGTGTGGCACACATAACATTAAAGTTGCAGCAGGGAGATGCTCGAAATGCTGGCCAAAATGCAACGGAAAATGTTTTGGCATTGCACTTTTTGCTGTATTTCCGGTTACATAAGCAAACATCATTTGAGTGCATGGGTGTGACTGGATGCTCCGAGTGATGCACGTGCAGTGGAACAAATTTGGCAGCAATTACAATAAATACATCATTTTATTGGGTAAAGTTTCCAAAGCAGTGTGCAAATACCTGGCGAACCATATTTTCCGCTTATTCCAATTGATGTTTAAACTATTTTGACTGATATTAGCTGATGTTTTTCGCTCTGTGCGCTGCACCATATAGTGAGATATATTTTTGCAGCTGAGTGACTCGCTCGCCCTTCGTCGCCCCAACTTCATCTTCGCATCCTGTGACTCTTCACTTTTGCCCGCCTCGTCCTTTTGTGCGACTCCTTGTTTGCTCTGCTGACTCATGACGTCGCCGAAATTCCCTCCTGACCAACTGCAGCAACAACTGTCCGGGGCACGGGGAGTAACCAGTCCGGGAACAGCGAGGATTGTGCGGTCCTGTCTGTGGAAGCACAACAAATTGCTCCTGCTAGCCGAAATGCGAAATGCCATGTTGCGCGTCGCTTGGTTGGGTTGTGAAAAACTATCATAGATGACTTGGAGCTGCTTAAATGGAAGTCGAAGTAATGAACGGGAAGGGAGCAGCTCCGAGCTCTGAGCTCCATATAATTATTGGGCGGAATAAGGGGGACTACGAGTATAGACAGAAAGTGGTTGATGGGTAATTGACTCTGATTTGGCCAGTAGATTAGCTTCAGCATAGAATGGGTTCGGTATTTTAGAAGAATTTAAAGTTGCATTTCACCTTTTGTTTAGTTTTATTTTTATAAGCTTTATCATGACAATTTAAATTTATAAAACTTTAATGAAATATTTGCACTGCTTAAATGCAAAGTGATCGATCTGTGCTGGTGGGAAAAATGCGCTTGAGCAAACTGTAAAAGTGTCGGATTTGTGCAATCTATGTGGCAGAAAAGGGCAGGAAAAACTGCAGCAACAATGTCTGGGGCAGATAAATTCCCAGCATGCGAAATTTATCAAATGACGACAGCGCCACAATACAAAGAGGTTGGGCTCGGGCGCAGGAAACAACTTATAAGCATGTAGACAGGCCCAGACGACAGGCACAAAATTAAGCAGGAAACACAGGCAGAAGCAGCAGAATGAAATAAATAAATATGAAAATATGGAAAATATGTTGTAAAATATAAAAAAAATCACAAGCGGCACTGGGCTGCCCTTAAAGGCACCTTCCGCCAAGTGGAGGGAGAACTCTGGCGGAGAAGGGCACGAATACGAGTATGACAGTGACAGACGATGGGAATCCTCCGCCTCCGCCGCCGCCTCCGACTTCTTCGCTTGGGTGACCCTAAGGCGGCAGCGGTCGCCTCTTCTTCCGGCTGCATCCGGATTAAAGTCATGTGCATAAGCCGGAAGTTGGAATATAAAATAACCAAATGTTGTATGTGCCCAGAAAGTGGGCGGAGTGGGCGGTTCTGGGAGCAAAGGACATCGCAGATTTGCGACTTATGCGCTGGGAGGTGGGCGGAATGGTTATAAAGCGTTTGTGTATGCAAGTGAGTAGTTGTGGTTACGAGGCAGCAGAAATTAAGACAATCCACATTTTGCACCGCATTCAAGCAAAAACATTTAATCACCACTTAGTTCCAAGGGTAAACATCCTAATATTTTACCACAACTCATCAGGAACATTGTAGAAAAGTGAAGGAATTTTATTACCTAGTTTACGCCATACTATACATCATATAATATATATAGTATAGTATTTTAGCATTTTCCAGCTTCGAAAGAATTTCTCGCTATGCAACTTTATGCACAACTCGCATTAAAATCAATAAAGATACTCAGATATATGTGCGGCAGATCTGGAACTGTAGCTTATGTGCCATAGATTCCATTTGGCTTCCTTCCGCCTCGCTCGTGCCCTTGAGAGGAATAGGAAAATAAAGGAAGACTTTCCCCAGCTCGCTGCTCGTTGAGCGCGACAGCCAGGAAAATGGCAAAAAATGCTGCTGCAAACTGCGCAAGGGAGGGGGAATGGGGAAAGGGGAACGGGGAATGTGCATCTGCAACTAACATCTCCCTTCAGCAATCCCGCCCAGATGCGAGTGCATCAATGGCGAAAAGGGCAGGCGACATTGCCAAGGCGGATGGCGCATCTTTGCTCGGCGGAAGAGGAAAATGCAATATAGGAAATCGTTTTTCGCACACTGAAAAATTGCAACTGCAAGAGGGGGGAAAATATTGTGATTTAAGAAAAAACAAAACAGGAAGTTTGCTTCTATGTGCCGAGGAATGGTGGAGGATTCCGAGAAGTTACACATTTCTGGTTACCAAAATGTGTGGAAAACATTTTGCAGTTGACAGCTAACTGAATTTATAGAAAGTTGAGTCGAACCCCCCAACCTGCACATGGATTTAGATTTGAATATAAATTTGGTGTTTAAGGAAATGCCTTGCTGAATAAATAGGTTGAAGCATGGAAATAACTTATTTCAAATAAGTAACCTTATTAATTCCTAAAATGTAGCCTCCTCAAAGATACGTGTTTTCCACCCATTTGAAATTTAACTGGCACATAACCGAGTGCCACTCAGAATTGTTGCCTTGAGAACAACTCCTGCCTGCCCTCCACATCCACATTTGTCCCTTCATCTAATTATACGAGTATGCCGTGTCGAGCCACACGTGTCGCTTGTTAGTCGCGTAATTCAATAGCTTGAAGCATTTTTAATTGGACTTTTTGCTCCCCGTTTGGCTAGGCGGCGTACTCACCCTGTCCGCCGGAGCCCAAATTAATTGATGGGTGTGCAAATTACAAAGCAACAAGTGTGCATCACGAGCCCCGAGTCAATTAATTTTAAAGTCCTGGCAACGTCAACGGCTTGTGACCGGCGGAGATGCCTCCGGAGGAGCAGCAGCTTTCTTCGCCATTCAATTTGGCTTCATTTTGTAATCGCATCAGCGTCGGCAATCTGTCAGCAGTCAGTTTACCTCGAGGTGGCGTGTCATTGGGCGGAGTGGAGTGGTGTGGAGTGGGCTGGAGTGGGCGGAACGAGGACGCACCCACCGGGATTGCAGGCCTACGGTGGCCCAGTCATACATCAAGGTGATCAATAGCACTGCTCCTGGCGAACGATGATGATGGAGTGAGAGTTATGGTTGTGTGGCAGTGGGTTGGCTGGTTGGTTGGCTCCTGGTTGAATGTCCCGGAACCAGCACTACAAACCTATTCGGTTTCAGCGAGTGTTCGGGGGTACTCATAATGACAAAGCGGACTTCATGAGGGAAAATGAATATCTGTATGATTGGAAACCTCATTTTCTGGCAGCAGAAAACCAGAAATGCCACACAATTCTAACTGAGAACTGGCCTTTATTTGGTGACACAAGGTTGCTTTCATTAAAAATGCACCAAGCATTACCCCACAGCTAGTTTGGCATTAAAGCTTGAACGATAAGCTGTCATCTTGGGTTTTTCTCAACCACATGCATTTTTAAATCCTTACTGCACACATTGTTTTTCCCTTTTCCTGTTTTGTGTTTCATCCGGCTGAAATTGAAAGACCGCAAAATGCCAGATGCCATTCGAAGCGTTTTGCTGTCATTAAAAAGCATCTCGAAAGTGAAAACGCGACTGCTGACGCAGCTTGCACCCCTCTCTGTCTATCCGCTCGCCCCGTCTCTTTCCGTCCCGAGCTGGTTGCTTGCGAATTTTGGATGCTGGTGGGTTGCATTACTGCTGACTGCTGACTGCTCATTGCCAGTGACGTTGACAGTAATTTGCACGAAAAGTGCAACCGCAGCACGAGGCGCGAGCCATGTTAATGTGCGTGTGACAGGGACAGGGATATGACAGGGCGACGGAGTGACAGGGACGGAGTGACGATGATAATGCTGCGAAGATAATGATGACGATGTCAGCAGTTGCAACAGCACGTGCTCCTAAACAGAGTGCCACGCCCACAGCCCACAGCCCCCACACACGTACGGCGGCCAGATGAGTGGAGCGACAGAGAGGGCGAGACAAGTGCGAAAGAGATGGATAGATGGGGCGCCTAGGTGGCTGGGCGCATCATATCCGCTTCCGTTTTGCCAATCAGCTGGCACTGGCCCACTTAGCCCTCTTCCTTATCTCCGCCACTCTGTCCGTAGCTGCATTTTCCGCGGCCACGAGGAAAACTCTGCTTATTAATTGCTAGCACCTGAAAGGTGAGGCGGCTACATTGTATGCAAGTGGCAGCGGTAACAACAGAGCAAATTGTAAGGAGGAAACTGAGAAGAGCTCAAGAAAATATATAATACTATACACGTATATAAAGCCATAAGTGAAATAATATATAATATTGCGTATATATAAGCATTTAATTTGTTGTCAGTGAAATATTTTATAACATTGCGCTGCTTTTTAATTATTTCAGGACCCGAGGGCTGCAACCTTTTCATCTACCATCTGCCGCAGGAGTTCACCGACACGGATCTGGCCTCCACGTTCCTGCCCTTCGGCAATGTGATCTCGGCCAAGGTGTTCATCGACAAGCAGACCAGCCTGTCCAAGTGCTTCGGCTTCGTCTCGTTCGACAATCCGGACTCGGCCCAGGTGGCCATAAAGGCGATGAACGGTTTCCAGGTGGGCACCAAGCGCCTCAAGGTGCAGCTGAAGAAGCCCAAGGACTCGAAGCCCTACTAGAGGCCACCGTCGGCAGCGAGCTTACCCCCGGACACATCGAGTAGAGGAGCACTGAGATTTGTGAAATATGGAGTAGTCAATGAATGAAGAGTGGCCCGTGTAGAGCGCGCGTTGCAAGAGTAAACGATGATGCGAAGGCCAACGTTGTACGTATCAACAAAACCAATCAAAGCAAAACCAAGAGCAGAAAAAGACATGAAATCTGTGCCAAACAAAAAGACAGAATCACTTATGATTTAGCACGTTAAATGTTGAATTAGAAACAAAAAAAAAAAAAAAGAACAAAAAAATACAGAAATCAAAAACTCAAAAACGAAATCAAAAAGAAACGAATAATACAACACTTAGACCGTAGATTAGTTAACTTTCTGTTGAAGTTCCCTTCGAACCCAAACTTTTACGACTCGTTTTCCTAATTTTAAACTGTCGTACGAGTTGGTTGAACCATTGCCTTTTATTAAATATTTTGTATACATCCTCATGACTCACAAACGAAAGAAACAAAAAAATAAAAAACAAACAAAAAAATTAAATTACAAGATCTGTTCGAGTGTTAGGCTTAAGTTTTTGATATAACTAATAATTTAATACACACTCTTTCTCTGTTTGATTTGTTCATCACTCATGTTGCAAGTCACAATGAAGTTTTTTATTATAACTATATACCCACATGATATATATGCTAGTTATAGTTACAAGTTACTCGTTTTGTTCAATGGATTATCTCTTTTTATATATCTACATTTATGCTGACGCGCATAATTAGTTTTTAGTTATCTGATTTGTTACACCCCCAAACTAACTCACATATTTTATTTGTAATGAAAAATGGAAATGTTTTTGTTAACCACATTAGAGGTACAACTTTAGTTTTATAATTAGTTGAACAAACCAATTCACATACGCTTCTCAGTGTTATTTAAGCGATTTGTAAAGGAAACGAACTATGCCTAAAAAGACAACAAACCAAATGAAAATGAAAAAGAAAAAGGAAAACTTGTTATTTATGTTGAAGTCTTATTATTGGAGTTTATTATTTTATTTTTAGTTTCTATCAATTGCCACATCATCCAAATTTACGCAAATCTGGTATTATATTATAACATATGATTCATTTCATGGTAAACTCTTTGTTTTAGTTGAAGGTTAATTGGCTTTTTGTCGTTGCACATCTTGAAGTAGATAAGTGCCTTATGTAGCATACTTTGTTTATGTAAAAATCATGCACATATGTAAACATTCATACCACAGCATACATATCTAAATAAAGTTCTGTTCTCTGTTTCAAATGCACAAAACTCGACTTAAACAGCGTGCTTAAAATTTTGTTTATGTTATGTTGGTTATTATTAAGAAAGGTAATTATTTGTGATGTAGGCTTCTGCATTCGACCACTTTATTCATAAGCTCCTAATGCTATTTTTCATTTTATTCTTTCCAGACACTACACGCTTCATTCACACAACCTGATACTCACTTTATAAAATTAAAACTAATTTATATACTTTGCTTATACTCCTTAGATGGTATGTTGTTTGCAAAGTTACGCCAATAATTTAATTTTTGGAAAGGCAATTTCAAGTGGTAGTTGATGCAAGCCGCCAATTGAAAGGTAAGCTAAACAATATCTTCTTATCTGGATATACAAATCTAATTTAATATCATTTCAGTTGTACGCAAATCGTTTATGCAAGACGCATTGGTCCCCGAAGTATGTAAATAATGGCCGCTTGAGTCTCGAGAATCCTAAAAGAGATTGCCTATTCCACTGCTGTCGCATATAAATTTCCGAGAACTGTACATTTAAATACCACAAAAATAATGGAAAAGTTGTAAAAAAAACAAATATGCAATCATGTTGTACGATAGCCAAGAAAGCCATTTTATAAGCTTGTAAAGCAAACTAATTTTAACAAAGTAAATTTATGAAAATACTGAATAATATCTACGCTTCAGTTGGTGGTCTCGAATTCAATAAATTGGTTTTAAAGCTGAACAAAGCATTGACAAATCAGATGGATAGCTAAGTTATTTTGCGTTTGTAACTGAGTTTCCAAATTGATCGTTAGTCTTTGTTTCAAGTAGAGTCTAAGCTGTGTGCATTTTAAATAGTAACTATCTGGATGTGGCTTTAAATTAAACATAATTTCAACGCAGAAATTAGCATTCACCTAGGAGTAAGCTTGACAACATGAAGTGTTCTGTGTGTAATTAAATGTGTAATTAATAATTAGCAAGTAAGTGTACTTTTTTAGAGAAACAAAGCAAGGCTGTGTGTTCTGACTAGAATTTAAGCGAATTTCACTTTTGGACAAATGAAATTAGAATGCAATTTAAAATACAAGTTTGGAATTAGATATTATTTGCCGAGGCTACATTAAGGCAGTAAACAGCGAGAACGTAATTCTAGTGATAAAACGCAGTTAGTTAAGCGAATGGATTATATGTATTTATTGAGTCTTCAGTGTATATTGCTACACAAAACAACACACCCCCACACAAACACACATCAGCATCCGAACAGAATAAGTAAATCAATAAAAGGTGTCATGATTTTTATTAAAAAAAAGGAGAGCGCGTTTTTACTGGCCCAAACTTACACAAACTGGCGCTGGATAATTTATCAAAAAAATGTCTTGAGCCAAAAAAGTTTGCGAGGGAAAACTTTGAGGCAGCGCAAGTCAGGAAAAATGAACGGAAAACATACAAAATGTTGACGACTGAGGGAGAGAACGAGAGTAACTAAAGGAAAACTTCAACAATAAACGAAATATTTTGCTAAACTTGCGATTTGCATATGAGAAACTTTATGCCAATTGTGGAGCGGCCGCGGGACGGGTGAACCGAGGGTGCTGAATCCTGGTCTCGGTCCTGGCGAGATTCTAAAAACCGGGTGCCAGGACGTGTAAACAAATTCACCAACTACGTGACGCAGCAGTTCGTTTTGCTCCTGCTCCTCCGCAGGCCTTGCGTAATCCAAATCCAAGTCGAGTCTTAACGCAAGATTTATTCCCATTTAAATCATGCGTGGAAAACTTTTCCTCAGCTTCTGTCGACAGCAAATGCCAAGGGGCGGCGACGGAGCAGCATACACAGCAATAATTTCGTCTTGGCATATTCAAATATTTTGGCATTTGATTAAGCCAAAAAGTTTTGGCAATCCTCTAGCCAAATCCCAACAGATAAACGCAGCAGCAATGGTAAGAGGGCTTAGACTTTGATTGTTGGCAATTGATCGAATGCTGCATGCACCTTATGTTTTATGATTTGGCGTGCAATTTTGTTGCTAAAGATTTTGGGAAATGTTATGAGTTGGCCGTTAAGGTAGTTGGTATTGTTGCAATACCAAAAGCGCTCCTCAATTAAATGGCTTTCAATTCTAGGTAGCCCAGAAACCATGATGGGAATAAGACAGCGTTTCCATGGAAACCCTCCCAACTAGCGCTTAGTCTGAACCGCTCTCGCTTCCATCTCCATCAGTTTCTGGTTAACAATTTGCCAACGTTTGATGAGATCTTTTGTTATGCTCCACTGGCTAAATCGCTATTTAGGCCACTAAATTTGAGCCGCATCAGCGAAGCGCGTTTCACCCACGCCCCCGTGGGATTGGTAGAACATGTATGCAGGATGTATTCCCATCTAGACGTGAACACGAACACGGACAGGGACATGAACACGAACTCCAACACCCACAGCAACACCAACACCAACACTGACACGGTCATGAACAATATGGGGGAAAAGGCCTGGTCTGGAAAAGCGTTTCTGGGGAAACAGCGCCAGATTAGCAAAGTTTGTAATTACGTTGGTAATTGATTAGGTTCGAACAACAAACTGCTAATAAGATTATTGCAGTTGAGAACAAACCGAGCTGAAAAAACAAAAGCCCAGCCCCTCACCCACCGCCCTCCAATCCGCCAAATTATCCTCCAACTGCGCCAGAGAATGGGATGAGATGGGAGCAGATTGGGGCGCCAAAATTGAACCGATTTGTGGCACAAGTTCTGCATACAGTCGGAAAAAAACCATATGCAATGTGTTAGATTTGATAGCAGAAACCGAAATGGACGTGACTGCCAGTACTTAGCAAAACACAACATTTCTCCGAGTGTAGCTAGCAGCATCCTTCCCGAATGGCCCATTCCCATCCTGCGCTCCAGCATCCGCTGTTTGTTTGCACAATTTACCCAACGGGGGCGTGAGGAGTAAGGGGCGTGGCTGGGGCCACAGTAAGCTCACGCAAGCCGGAAGAACAACAATCGACCACCGAAATAACAATGGATTTGGCGCGTTTGCCCGTTTTTGGCATTGGGCGTATTGTTAATGGCACTGCACGCACATCGATGGGCTCCCCCAAAATCAAGAGGCCGGGTATAGATGGGTGTAGATTGTTAGGGGGTGGGCTTGCAGCATCACAGATACAAACGCACACACGCACACACACACACAGAAAAGACAAACAATTTAGCGGCGTTGCAATGTCGACCAACAATCTGTGGCCAGGAAGATGGTGTGCAAAGCAAAAGTTGTGGCACTGACTTAGAAGTGGGAAGTGAGCCACAAAACAAGGCAAATGCTAATGGGTTCTATTGCTCAGCCCACTGGAAATTGTGCGGACTCACAAAGGACAAAAACAGGTGGTATTAATTGGCAAAAAAAACTTTTCTTTTAGCTATAATAAATAAACTGTGTTTACAATATAACAACTAATTTAGGGAGAAGAGAAATAAGACTTTAAATACACCTAATATATTACTTAATTTCTAATTATATATTATAATTACAAGCCAGCGGCTTAAGTTCTTTAAAAGAAATTAAGAAAATATTTATCCCCTCTGCAGCTTTAGGTTTTCCTTTGTTTTCCCTACCTAGTGCATCGTAACTTTCCTAGCGCAAATCAATCAGCAGCCCAATAGCTTTTCCTACTGGCCATATCTTTGGTGTTCGCAGGACACCGCAACCGATCGGCTTTCTCCCATGCACCCAACTTCATGGAGAGCGACAACAGCTGATTAAAACCCTTGGCAGTCCGTTTCCTGTTCCCATCGCATCCTGGCCCTTATCGCATCCTGCCCGTCATCGTCATCGATCACACTCCAAATCGAACTCGAATTGCACTCGCATACGCACAACGGTGCAGCCACACACATACAGTACATGCAGTGCACTGAAAAAAAGGGAGTTCACTTTTTTTACGAACGATGTTGGTTTTCGTTCCTAAAATGGTTCATTCACTTAGGAGTGCGAAAATATGTCTGCTTACGTTGTAAATCATTACATTTGTAAGCGGAACTAAAAATAATGGAGGGCTTTGCACGGCATGTGGAATCCAGCTTATTCCTCTCAGTGTACTCAGCAAAGTGAATTCGATTTTGAAGGAGAAACCGAAACTCGCTGGGGAATCGCTGCAATTTTGCACGTGAACACGCTCAGCGTTCTTCGTCCGCCACACCGACCCCTATATATCCGTATCACTTCCAGTTCACTTGACAGATATGGTGGGGGCGGCGGGGGGCGTGGCCGAACGCCTTTCCCGACTCGCTGCTTCTGCAGCTCCTGTTTTGAAATGCATTGGCAGAGACATGAACGGATGGCTTTGGGACGGCGAGTGGCAGTGCAAGAGATCAGGGGTTAGGAGGTGCAATTGTTATTTTTCTGGGGGTTCTCCTGGGTCAGGAAGGGAGGGGGGTCATGTTAGCGAAGGTAAAAAATCTCGGCAACTAACCTAGTTTTTGTGCTTTTCATGCCACAGTTCCCTCTTCATGCAGCCAACTACTCGTATTTTTGTGTGTGCGGCTTTTATGACAGGCGGTTCAGTTTTCCCCCCATCAATATGATTGCCTTGCCCACTGAGTGTGTGTGTGTGTGTGTGTGTGGGTGTGTGTGTTTGGATTCGAGTGAGAGTTTGAAATCCCTTACTTGTGGCATATTGCATATTGATTTCGCAAATGTGCCGGGGAGTTGCTGTTGGGAGTTGAATTCATGGGAGATCCTTGCTACTTCTGGAAAACCCTCTCCTGAAACTGTGATTAAATCATGATCCCAAGGGGATCACGCCATTATTTTCGACTTGATTAAAAGATCATAGGCTGCAATGCATAATTTGCCAAAAGGAATAAATATAAATACACCTTTAAAATTGGAAAATTTATTGGCAATCTTGGCCAAGTCCAACGTGGTCAAACCTAACCACTTCCGCCCAACCATCCCAATCACATCAAAGTTCGAGCAGTTTTCCCGCTTGCATCGGTTTTCCTTTTTAGTTACAATAACACAATTTATGCTTCCTGTTGTTGACTCGAG